ATATATATATATATATATATATATATATATATATATATATATATATACAGAGAGAGAGAAGAGTTATACCTCCAGCAATCCCAAGAGAATCCAAAGGATCATGAGTTCAAGGTCATCCTCAGCTACATAGCAAAGTTATGGCCAACCAACATATACTACATGGGACTCTGAAAACATACATACAAGTATAGACAATTAATGGAAAAATAGGTTGTTGATTTGAAGGAGAATGGGGAGGGATATTTGGGGAGGTTACAGGGAGGAAAGGAAAGGTAGAAATATAATTATAGCATAATCCCCAAACTAAAAAAATAAAAACAAAATTAATCACTACTACTAACTCGAGGACAGAAGAAAAGTTATAGGACCTTAGGAAGCCCAAGATCTCAACAAGAGAGAAATGACCTCAGTCAACAACCAGCCAGATGAAGAGGAAGAAAAGGGTTAAACAAAAGGCAGACTAGAGAAATTAGGATGAGCTGATGATTGTTTTAGATCACACTATGAAATGATTTACACTAAGAAATCCTGTATGACGCCCACAATGGCCAACTTCACATTACCAATCAGTAACACTAAACGCAGGGCTGGGAACTGAGCACACCACGGTTGTATAGCACGATCATGTAAAGTGAGAGCATCCATTCTAGAGTCTTCCACCCAGACAGATACAACTGACATATTCAATCTCGTGGCATTTAGAAGTACATGAAGTAAAATAGCTGGCATATTTTGAGCATTAGTTATTTTGGGTTTTAACATAATTTATCCTATTGCATCTTTCTATTCTTTAATTGAATAATGGCTGTATTTTACAAATGCCTCACAAATTCCTGAATATTAAAGAGTTTCATAAAGTGGAACTGATAGAGCTGTCTCCCCACCAGTGGCTATCAGAAAGTGGAGTGGCAGAAAATGGCTGACATGACAAGTTTTTATAAAATAAAACCAGTTACCAGAGCAATGGGGTAGGAATGGACTAGGGAAAAGGCTCAGTCTGTAAAATGTTTTCTGTGCAGACATGATTATCTGAATTTGACCCATATGCCTACTTCAAAAAGGCAGGTATGGTGTTATTTTCATTTAAGCCCTTCATGGAGGAAGGAATGAGAGAATCCTAGGGCTTGCTGGCCAGACAGTCTAGCGAGACCACTAAATTCAAGGTTCTGTACAACTCTTTCTCTCTAGAGATAAGATAGAGAATAAATAAAAAAGATGAGATCTTGCCCCTATTTCTCCACACACACACTTACGGTTGCATTTATCATTTTCTCAGTAAATCTGAGGAAATGTAACAAGTGATCTATAATGCCAAGCACGGTGGTGCAGACCTGTAATCCCAGCACTCAGGGAGGCAGAAGCAAGCAGATCTCTGTGAGTTCAAGGCCAGCCGAGTCTACACAGCAAATCCAAGACAGCCAAGGCTATTGAGAGAAAATCTGTCTTAAAAAACACAAAAACAAACAAACAAGCAAAGACAAGTGATCTATAACAACACTGATTACAAATGATACACAAAAAAGAGGGTTAATGATAAAACTAAAAATGATCATGAATCAGAAAAGAAGCAGAATGTGTAGAAAGGGTCTACAGGGGACAATGTCAAGACCATTGCTAAAATAGTGACGTGTGAAGTCTATCTCTGAATGGATCAGACTGCAGATCTTTGGGAGGGATGGTTAAACAATACATAGTCAAGACTAAAATGACATTAAAAACAAATGTGACAGCTAAATAGTGTGTCCTTCATCTTACTCATTGTGAATGCCTGATTAATTCTTCCTCAGAACAAGGGCAGAGTTCTCAATTCATTTATTTAAAAAAAAAAAAAAAAGATAGCATACAGAAGTCACAAATGGACCCATCAGCAAATTAATATCCCTGAGAAAAGTATTTGTAGTTTTCAAGAACAGCAAGAGCTGGAAATATACTTTGGAAGATTATAATTTTAGGATAATTTTCTACAATGAACAATTTAACCAGGAGATGTATACCATTCTCTGACTTGTTTTTTCTGTCACTTGCTTTCTATTGATGATCAAACTATTGATAATAAAATCATATAAAATAGGCAGGGAGGGTCAGACAGCCATGAAATATGTTTTATATATTTTAAATGAACCGTTTTGCTATTCTGTCTAAAGGCTAATATCTTCATTAAAAGACAAAAGACAAGTGTCATACTACTCAGACCTCTCCTAGCCTGAGAGTATAAATTCTGTTTTCTGCTATAGCAGGACAGGATTCCTGCGCCATGAGCTTCTCTCCTAATCTTCATGGCACATGCAGCTACATGTTAGCAATGTTTATATTCAGATAAAATATATATACATTATATATGCAAGTACATATACATGCACAAACTTTTATTCAAGAGGATTGTGGAAATGGGGACAAATACTTGATATGGGGAAATAAATAAATCATAGGTACCTGCTGTCTGATACTAAATATATCAGAAAACTGAAACTAAAGTCTTAGTTTTGTTTCTTACAGACCATGGAACCTAGAGAACTTCAGTTAATCTCACTGAATATCTGATTGCTCTCTGGAAGACAAGTATATTTTCTACTTTGTAATAAAAGATGCAACACAACTTGGTCCAGCAAGAGCGTCTACTCCTTGCCAAACGTAGTACTTAACAGCACTTAACAGAGTCCTTAATACCATGTCCAAAAACATTAATGATAAAATTATTTTTGTTCTACTTCCTCCCAGTTCAACCTACCGCACGTTGTATTAAAGTCATAGCATCCCATATTATAATTCCAGCAGGACCCAGAGCAACAATTTCACCAAGTGTATTCACAAGGTCTTCCTGGCAAAGGTGATAGGAAGAGTTAGCAGGGAGTAACAAAAGGAAGCATTTCCACAGGACAATACCAACAAACTAAGCATGCTGACCAAACAATAACACTTTAAATATTTTTACACTCTTTAAATCTTTATTCAGGTATTTCTTTATTACTTAAAAAGAGGCTACTACTTCTGCTGGCAATGTTTACAAAATAAAAGTAAAACAGTTAAAATATTGTCTATATTTTATGATTCTCTGTGGGTGCTAACAGGTCATATGATTACAATAAGCACTAAAAAGGCAGTAATTCTATCTCTCTTGGAGAAACTAGAATTAGCCCTATGTATATTCTCACATGATGAATGATGCTGAATCACAGTCCTTTAAAAACAACATTAATTTCCAGGAAATGCTATTTATGAATCCGCGGTCAGAGATGCCAAAAATCATTTATTTACCTCCATAAGAAATTCGTTAACGTGATCAGTAAAAACAAGACGAACATAAACAAAAACTGGGATCGGATCCGTTTCATTCCGGACTTTGGACACTCTGATAGATTCCACAACTCGGAAACGGACATAGAGTGTAGCTTGTCGATTCGACTTCAAGTCTTTCTTCAAGTAGACAGATGGGTAAAGGCCAGTGCTTTCTTTCCACAACCAGCCAAGATCATTGTTTCTTTGTTCTTCCACTTTAGGACAATGCCCATCATATGCAGGGTCTTGAAATTTATTGTTATAACAATCAGGAAAAAGGTAATAGCCCCATAAGTGTTTTGGCCGAACTGATTTCCCCAGTCTTAATGTCTGTTCCATGAAGTTCCTGCCTGCGTTTTGAAATTCTACTATGGCTTTCTGGGTGGCCTCTGCGTAACTAAGTCCTGGATTATTTTTCAGGACCAAGTCAATAGACTTGTTCCTATAGTTATCCTTGGGTTTCCAGTTTCTCATCCACGTGGGCCTCCATTCTTCCCAGTCAATGATAGCTAAGCCCACTTTGTCTACTGGAATATAGTGTTCTATGTCAGTCCTGGCTTTGGCCAAGTGATCTTGCAAATTCCCCAACTGAGGTATTCCTCCATAATGGTCTACTTGTTTTGGATCTATGTGAGGATAGAGGCCAAGTCGATCAACATAAAATAGTGTGGCAGGCTGCCCTATGGCAGTTTTTCGGGGGCTTCCGATTAATGGGAAGAGGCTCAGATCTATTGAGTTAGTAAAGTTTCCAACACAAGGTTCAGTTGGGGCATTCCAGACCCAAAGGAAAGGGGCATTTGATATAATGGGTGCTGCTCTATAATCCACAGTCAAAGAACATGGAATCAGAAAGAAGATTAACACTGTCTGGAATGCTCCCCCAGACTCAACAAAGCTCCCCAAAAAGGGGTGCTTAAATAGCAACCCTCCCATCACAGACAGTAATTACTGTGTAAATACTTATTTCTTCTTGCACACTTTGGTCTGTCCAGTGTTTGGTGCAAAAGATGAGAAAGTTTGTGACATGAGGCCACTGCGGGGGATGAAAATGTGGTTACTGCTTTACACTGAAGATTATTCTTCTTGCATCATGTTTTAAGAATATTTAGCAGCAAGTTAAATCATCCAGAACTGGAAAAGAGACAAATGAAGAATTCACTGTAGCTGGAATGAGAGCTTTACCAAGTCTAATTTCATTCAAGGAGTTTAAATCCATTTCAAAAGAGAGAAGTTATTTAAAGTATTTAAAGCAGTAAGATTCTGTATCAGTCAATACTTAATCTTCTAAAATCATTCCTGATCCCACAGAGAACTGAATGTAACTTTTTCTTACTTCATTTCCAGTTATATAGGATGCTTTATCTATCAATACTTTAGAAAATACCAATTAAAGTAACACAAATTTCTACGCATGGTCCTTAGTTGGAGCATCAGTCTCTGCAGGGCTCCTTGCCAGGCCACAAAGGAAGACAATGCAGCCAGTTCTGAAAGAGACCCTATAGGCTAGGGTCATATAGTAGGGGAGGAGGACTGCCCCTATCAGTGGTCTAGGAGAAGGGTATAGGGGGAGTAGAGGGAGGGTGGATGGGACAGGGAAGAGATGGGGGAGGGACTATAGCTGGGACACAAAGTGAATAAATTGTAATAAATGATAAATAAATTTTAAATGTAATATAAACTTGTATTTCTTGGTTGTGAAAATTGACTCTGTCATGATCTGTCAAATTTTGAAAACCTGTCACATAATTTGAAAAGAAATCCATTTTTGTAATTCTTGTATGTGTGTGTACATGAATGTAAGGGCAATACTGGAAGTTGAACTTAAGGCCTTTCATATGCTAGGCAAATACTCATCAACTAAATCCCCATCCACTTGTTTGTTTGCTGTTTGTGTGTTGACTTATTTATTTGGTCATGGTATTGTCAAATTTCCCTGGGTGTCCCAGAACTCATGATCTCATGCCTCAATGTTCCAAATACCTGGGGTTATTTGTGTATCACCATCCCAGCTTGTAATACTTTGTCTTTCTTTCCACTTTAGTTTTATTTTTCCTCTAGGGAATAGGGTGAGAGACAGTACACCTCACTGTTTTACAGAGGTAACAGTTCAGTATGTTTACTCTCTCCTTAGAACACCGCTGATCCAAATTTCACAGTGGTGTCCTCTCACTGTTAAATTAACAAACTACTGTATATTGGTTGACTCTAGTCTTATTAATTAAAAATAAGATAGGAATATCTTTAAATACTGCTACAAAAGCAAGAATGTGTTGCCATTCTGACTGGTGGCAAACTGACGTGTAACAGCAATGAAATGGTCAGAGGTAGAAACCAGGATTTCAAAGAAAGGAAGCTCTGCATTAATTAAACTGTTCCTTAATCTTGACAACAAGAGGTTGCTAATCTTCTGCTGTTTTAACCTCAATGTAGATCGTATGTCTCATGTTGACAGACAACAGAACTGTGAAGTGACCTGTTCCACAGCAGTGCTCAGTCAGCCCCTGACCTGAGAACACTTCTGGAGGAGTCTAAGTAGAAGACCATTAGAGGCTTAGTGACTTCAGAAAGTTTTGTAGATCCCTCGCAGAAAAGAACCCTGTGCCCAGATATTTTGGTTCTGTTCCTCTCCTTGTGGAGCTCCTGTCCCCTCCAGGTCTTCCATCTCCCTCTTCTTCTGAGACTGATACTCCAACAAGCACCAGGCATGGAAATAACCTAGAACTCCTGCACAGATGTAGCCCATGGCAGCTCAGTCTCCAAGTCGGTTTCCTAGGAAGGGGAACAGGGACTGTCTCTGACATGAACTCAGTGGCTGGCTCTTTGATCACCTCCCCCTTAGGGGGTAGCAGCCTTACCAGGCCACAAAGGAAGACAATGAAACCAGTTCTTATGAGACCTGATAGGCTAGGGTCAGATGGAAGGGGAGGACCACCTTCCCTGTCAATGGACTCGGGAAGGGGCATGGGAGGAGAAGTGGAAGGAAGGGTAGGTTGGGAGGGGATGAGGGAGGGGGCCAAAGCTGGGACACAAAATGAATAAATTGTAATTAATAAAAAATTAATTAATTAAAAAAGTGCTGGATAGTCCTACACTTACCACTTTTTCAAATTTGAAAGCCACACCTATCAGTTATCTACCTGCCACAAATTTAGTTGCATAGCTGTAAAAGAAAAAGAAAATAACTGAAGTAGATTTAAGTAGAATGAGGGTAAGTTAGGACAGGATGAGATAGAGTGAGGAGTATCAGAGTGGCAGGGTAAATGATAAGGGTGTAATTGTATATACACCCTTAGTTAACCTGTACCAGGGAAACAAATGTGTTACTCACTGCTCTCTCACCCCACCCCAACAGAGAAGACTTCTGTGACCTTAAAAATGTGGAGGTTTCTCTTTTTCTACAAACAATGAATTCAACAAAAGACACCAAGTCGGTATCCACAAATCCAATGGAACTCTTACCCTATCTTCATAGAAACAGAGCTCACGAGCTGACAGCTCACTGTGGAATTCATCTTCACCAGGAGGCAGTCATCGAGCCCAGGCGATTTTGATCAACTGGGTATACATTAACTTTCCCACAGCACTCTCTTTGAGATTTATTAAGTGTTATTAAACACAGAACTTTAGGAAACAGGTTTAGCAGATTGTCATAATACATGCTACAAAGCACAAGAGTTGAAGGGTACATAGGATCAGATATGAGAAGCAAGACAAAGATCCCCTGGGAATCTTCACAAGATCCTGTGACTTGAGGCCTCCCAAATTCTGTGCTTTCAGGATTTTATGGTGAATTTATTGCATAGGTATAATGGAAGCATTGATCACTATGTAAAATAAGATTAGACAAAAAAGAGCTAATTAGTGCCTATAGATTGGTGAGGAAGATTGTCATTCTCCTTGGCCTCTTTGTGGAACCCACTACCATTATAGTTGATACAACTATAATGGTCCCACTACCATTATAGTTGGTAGTTGGAACAAAGCCTTTGGAAAAAGGAGATTCCTATGTGTCTCTAGCAAAGAAGAGGAATTCCAAAATAAATGGCTCATTCAAATGTAAAATCCAGAAAAATGAAATTTTCTATGCTCTGTCTGGCAAAAGAGAAAATTCTTATAATAAAGGAAAATATGAACCAAGAAATAAGGACAGAAATTATGAACACAACTTATTACATTAAAGTTATATGCTGATTTGTTTATATACTGAGTACAAGTGATTTTATATATATATATATATATATACATATATATATATATATATATATATATATATATATATATATATAATAGAGAGAGAGAGAAAAAAAGAAAGAGAAAAACATATATCAGGTTATATAAACAAGATTGGTAGACAATTTTTTTTAGCCTAAAACATTTGAATTTGAATATTTAAAGAAAAAAGTCACTGTAATTGCTTGCCCACAAGCCAGTTACTTATTGTCTTCAACTTAATCTCTTTAACAACCAGAAAGTAACTTTTAGCTGTCTCTGTATTCCTTAACTAACATTGTAATGTCTGTACTGCACTAAACAACAAAATTTTCTAGATAGAACCAACAGGCATACAGTCTGATTCAGGCTAAAGTCAACTTACTCAGACTTCATAACTTGACTACATTTTAGATTTTTTTTTCCTTATATCTTTAACTACAAAATATGGGTTATATAGCTGGGGCATGGTGGCATACACCTTTAATTCCAACACTTGGGAGATAGAGGCTGGAAGATCTCTGTGACTTTGAGGCCAGCCTGGTCTACAGAGCAAGTTCAATGTCAGCCAGGGCTAAATACAGAGAAACCCTATCTGGAAAAACCCAACAGTTATCTGTTAAAACAGACAACAGTTATCAGATAAAAGCATACCAATTAGTCCTTATAAAATTCTGTATTTCAATTATTAGGAATAAATAAAAAATATTTCCAGGCTAGCTTTGAAAGGCCTTCTGATTATCAATGTCTCTAAACTTTTAAATTTGAGTTAAATGTGTTTTAAAGGGGCTGGGGTGGATAATTTGATGCTACCACTTGCATGTTATAATAACTAACTAAAACACTAGGAACATATTAGAAGTGATGAATGTGTATCCTCCATTGAGTGACAATTCTTGTCATCACTTTCACAAACAAGTAACTGTCGAGAAGTTTATAAAAAGCATGTACGGTTACCTTGCTGGAAAGAACCTTATAAACACCTGTCTACCATCCGCATCTCCATCATAACAAAAGACAATCTTCTTAATTCATGTGGGCCATGGCCAGCCTAAATCTACTCCAGCACACCTACAACAGGGCAACAGGAAGGCCTTACCTACAGATGACCTCATAGTTCAGATTGCACAGCAAGTTCCAAGGTCCTAGAAGCAGATGACCTCACAAAGTGGACAGATTTTTCCCAAGAACATGCATCAAGAAACTTTAGTTCTCCCTCTTTCCCTGTACATTCAATCCTCCCATCCTTTAGAGGAGGAAATTGTTTTTAAACAAAAAGTTTCCTATTTTTTTCCTTTCATATGAATCCTGACTAGTAACTACTTTTCTCAGTCTATTCCACTTTCAGATATGTGACTCTCCTATTAACTGTACTGTCTTTCTGAATCAAAAAAAAAAAAATCACACAACCCAAGCATCCCACATCATATTAACTAACTCTTCTGATAGTAGGTGCAACGTGTAGAGAGGTAGCAAGAACAATTATATAATTAGCTTTCATCCCTGCCAATGTGAATATCTGTTAATGTGGTTGGTTGAGACTGTATAACATTTTTTTTATCAGAGAGTGACAACCCCTAATCATTCCTCCTGATAGAACCTACCGTAATGCCTAGGAAAATCTCCAGTAAAGCACAAGTCTGCTTCTTGTTTAGAAGATGACAATGGAAGATCATTTTCTGTTTTTATTGAATATAGATTTGACTTTCGTCAGTTCATAAAGC